TCATAAACCATTAGGTGTAAAACAAAATAGCTGACAATTTCATAACCTTTCTGGACCTGTTTCTAACATTTCTGTGAATTCAGCTAAATTACACTAGGATGTTTCTTTCAGTGTCCTGCAGAGAGCACCAGAACACAATGAACTGATAGCAGCCTAAACCTCTGCTGAAAATGTTTTGTTGTATTTATTTAAACTAAATACGTGTTTCTCTTAAAAATTAAAAATAAAAAAGACGAAATTAAACACAAAAATACGCGATACTTAATGTACAACTATTGTTCAAGCGTGTATTCATCATCTCAGTGGGAAGCGACTTTGGTCAAGCGAGACGGGGCAAAACCGGAAACTGATTAAAATTTCCCTTCAGAACAAAAGCATAAAAAATCAACATCGAACAAAACCATTAAATCTGGGCTTCTGTAACAGGCAGCTCATATTTCTYAGTTAAATACTAGTAAAAGTCTCTTTTATTGAGACACAACTGTGATTTCAATTTGTTATCAAATATTTAAGCACAAGAGAAAAAAATACGTTTTTGATAAAAACACAAAAGGATACACTTTTTTTCCATCCAAACCACTCCTAACTSGATCATGAATACAAGATGAACTAAACCCGACACTCAAACGCCAAACATTATGGTTTACCAAATATAACATTTTTAAGTTTTATTCTGAAATCCAAACCCGGAAGCGTGATGCGTCATTACGTCGCTCTTGAAAATGGTCGAGTTTTTGAAGGAGGGGAGGCAAACCGCGTATCGGCAGCTGGTACCCGAGCGGCAGGGCAGTGTACACCTGAAGTATGTGGTTAATAAGTGTGTATTTAGAAAAAGACTACTCTGCTSAAACATTTTAGTATTTTTTAATGAGTCTTGGGTCTCGAGTCGGAATGAAAATCAGATGTTTTAGCTCGTGCCAACTTTGTGGAAATATGTGACAAAGATGAGGACGTAAAATGGAGCAAGCAGCTACTCTCGACATAGAAACACTCAAGGTAAGATTAAAACAGATTAAAATAAGCTTTTTTATCATTTTAATTAAAATGACAGGCTTATTAGTAGCTATTATAACACCTTTGCAGTTGAAACTCGTGTTTTTTCCCCCGTATATTAGCTTCGACATTTTTTTAATCAAACTGAGCAAACTTTATTCAGCAGTCCTGCAACAGGTGCACCGCTCCTCTTGAAGAATCTAACCCAATGAAAGATGAATGGAAACTGTCTGATTCTGTCTGCAGGCAGAAATTTGATTACTACCACCTGCCAGCTACAGCTACATATCTGTGTTGTTGTTGTTGTTGTTGTTGTTGTTGTTGTTGTTGTTGTTGTTGTTGCTGCAGCACACTTCATGCACTGAGCTACTGAAGCATCACAGTAATGTGACAGTCTATGAATATTCCACCTGCATACTTTCTCATTATCATTCCGGTCTAGTGAGGCTGAGGAGGCAGTAACCTCTGGGTACAGTATGTGTATCTCTTCTTGATGCTGCAGAAGGAAAACGGTAAAAAGAAAGCAGAGTGTTTGAAGTCTCCACAGCTCTGCACCTCTGTCACACACAGCTGTGCGCTGTGTAAATATAATCACCGGATCAGACGTACGTCGACAAACTTGTTCAACTTTTAGAGTTGAGATGGACGCCACATCTAAGCAACCCCAGACAAACCCCCGGGAAAATAAACATCCATCCATCCATCCATCCATCCATCCATTTTCTTCCGCTTATCCGGAGACGGGTCACGGGGGCAGCAGCTTCAGAAGGGAGGCCCAGACCTCCCTCTCCTCAGCCACTTCTTCCAGCTCCTCTGGGGGAACTCCAAGGCGTTCCCAGGCCAGCCGAGAGACATAGTCCCTCCAGCGTGTCCTGGGTCTTCCTCGGGGCCTCCTCCCGGTGGGACGTGCCCGGAATACCTCACCAGGGAGGCATCCAGGAGGTCATAACTCAGTCCTTAGTTATTCTGTATCATCAGGAAATATAATCCCTGTCTGCAGATGAAACTCTGGTTTATCAGTAAGATTGAAAC